TCCGATCTCAAGTGGAACTCATACATACGATTCATTGCTAAGGATGCAGGTGAAATGGTGGGATCCCTGTACTGCTTCAGTAAGTACCTGTTATGGTCCAGGTTAGGACCAAGGAAGAACAACACGAACACAAGAGAAGAAATAACGAAGGTATATTACACGAAATAATAATACAAGATGTGGAAGGTGTAAGTATGACTGTCAGTCTGGTTTGGAGTGAACTACTATCGGCTCGACTCGATTCGGTATTTACTTGCCCCTCCCCCCACGAGGGAATGATGTGGCACAAGGCCGAGTTTTACGTGGGTTTCCCGAGCCCGTAGGCTCGGCCAAAAGATGCCCGTAAAACCCGGATAAACGGGATCGGGTTGGTCAACCTCCCCGAACGAGACTCTGCCCTTCGGCGGAGCCTCGTCCGGTTTCCTCTCTACACAGAAGCAGAAAGTTCGACCGTCAAGTCGAGAAGCTCGGCTTGATTCGGTATCTAGCCACCCCCCACGAGGGTTGCATGTGGCACAAGGCCGAGTTTTTACGTGGGTTTCCCGAGCCCGTGGGTTTCCCGAGCCCGTAGGCTCGGCCAAAAAATGCCCGTATAACCCGTATAAACGAGATCGGGTTGGTCATTTTCCCCGAACGAGATTCTGCCCTTCGGCGGAACCTCGTCCGGGTTCCTTTCTGCTCAGAAGCAGAGAGTTCGACCGTCAAGTCGAGAAGCTCGGCTTGATTCGGTATCTAGCCACCCCCCACGAGGGTTGCATGTGGCACAAGGCCGAGTTTATCGTGGGTTTCCTGAGCCCGTAGGCTCAGCCAAAAAATGCCCGTATAACCCGTATAAGCGAGATCGGGTTGGTCATTCACCCCGAATGAGATTCTGCCCTTCGGCGGAACCTCGTCCGGGTTCCTTTCTGCTCAAAAGCAGAGAGTTCGACCGTCAAGTCGAGAAGCTCGGCTTGATTCGGTATCTAGCCACCCACCCACGAGGGTTGCATGTGGCACAAGGCCGAGTTTAACGTGGGTTTCCCGAGCCCGTAGGCTCGGCCAAAAAATGCCCGTAGAACCCGTATAAACGGGATCGGGTTGGTCAACCTCCCCAAAGAGACTCTGCCCTTCGGCGGAGCCTCGTCCGGGTTCCTCTCTGCTCAGAGGCAGAGAGTTCGACCGTCAAGCCGAGAAGCTCGGCTTGATTCGGTATCTAGCCACCCCCCCACGAGGGTTGCATGCGACACAAGGTCATTTTTATCGTGGGTTTCCTGAGCCCGTAGGCTCAGCCAAAAATATGCCCGTATGACTCGTAAAGACGAGATCGGGTAGGTCTTTCACCCCGAACGAGATTCTGCCCTTCGGCTGAACCTCGTCCGGGTTCCTTTCTGCTCAAAAGCAGAGAGTTCGACCGTCAAGTCGAGAAGCTCGGCTTGATTCAGTATCTAGCCACCCCCCCACGAGGGTTGCATGCGACACAAGGTCATTTTTATCGTGGGTTTCCTGAGCCCGTAGGCTCAGCCAAAAATATGCCCGTATAACTCGTAAAAACGAGATAGGGTAGGTCATTCACCCCGAACGAGATTCTGCCCTTCGGCGGAACCTCGTCCGGGTTCCTTTCTGCTCAAAAGCAGAGAGTTCGACCATCAAGTCGAAAAGATCGGCTTGATTCGACCCTCTCTCTTGAAACGCGTATTATACATAGTGTTAGGAAGAGTTCATTCTGTAGTTATAGGTAAGTCCCCAATGACAGTACCTAACTCTTTCTGCTATTATTTACCTTTACAAGAACCAGATCAGGCCAAAAATGGAGTACTGTTGTTATATTTGGGCCGGAAGTGTCTACACCTCACTCTCCAGTATAAAAGAGTCTCCAAGTCTTTGTGGGTGATAAGTTATTCTTCATTCTTCAACCTTTTTCCCGTAGGCGGGATATGGCAAGCCTCTCGCTGCTCTGTCACTACTTCTATGAAAAATGCTCTGACGAACTACATTCCCTGGTCCAGCCAAGCCAAACCTTCATGGCAAGAACACGCAATGCCGCTTACATAGTAGCAAACCACTCACATTTCGTCTATATTTCATGGGTGAGAAGTAAGTTCTACTCGATTAATTTATTCCAGCGGACCACTGCCCTATGAAACCGACTCCCAAGAGAATGTTTCCCTGATCACTACAATCTTAACCTTTTCAAGACTCGGTTTAACCGTTATCTCTCATTCGTATTTGGGCACCTCCGCGTGGTGTAATGGTTAGCAAGCTTGTCTCGCTAAAACAGTTACGACTGAATAGTGAGTTTGATCTTCACTAGGTGCTCCATACTTTCGGCCTTGTGCCACATTTAAGCTACGCTTGGAAAATAACTCGTATTCAGACAAATGGCCTCCTAACTTAATCTTCTACCTCGAGTGGCCCCGGGCATTGTAAAGGGTGAACCTTACTGTGAAAAAGAAAAAGAAAAAAGTACCCAGATATCAATGATGCATGGGTAATTTCAAACTTGACATTTGTAAATAAAAATAAGTCATAGATAATTCTTTCAGAAGTCAAGGTATATTATAAACAGGAACCGACTTTTAGAAAGATTTTTGAAAGACTCTGTATTGTTTTATTCTGTCAGAGGAAACTTAAGTGAATATTAATCTACAAAAAATGTTCAAAATTTCTTTCACTTCTTTTACAAGAGGACCACTATACTTAAGTAGTTCATTCGTGTAGTTCATTCAGTTCATTCATAGGTAGCCAAAAGTTTTCCTCATATTCAGGTAAGACAGTCTAGTGGTTTACGTTAATAGAAAATGCTGGGTCTAAAAGTTACATTGAAAGGCTTCATCAGTTCGCGGCATAGCACTGTTGCATAGGTTATCGATGTCTGTCTAGTAACGTTCTTCAAAGATTTCATAATGCATTAAATTTTGATGAGTTCCCTGTTAACGCGATTTCATCTATAGCCTCCCCAGGCTCGTAAGTGGACGGATTAATAGCATTATATATATATATATATATATATATATATATATATATATATATATATATATATATATATATAGTATATATATAGATAGATAGATAGATACGAACACACATACATATATATATTTATATATGTATATATATATACATGGGGAAAATGAATGACAAAGTGGGAAAAGGTTTTCTTGTGATGCGTTTCGTCCTTTAGGACTTCATCGGGCTAAATTTGTCATGATGATGCAACTACACATGCGCACGAATCAGGGATGCTGGGAATTTTAATATATATCATTATCTCATATATATATATATATATATATATATATATATATATATATATATATATATATATATATATGTGTGTGTGTGTGGAAATTTATCCGATTTAACCAGTAGAGAAGACAATATTTATGAATAAAAATAAATAGAAAATAGAAATAAATTCAACCATAATTTTGATTTTAAAAATGCTACATTCATAAAAAAAGAAAATAACTCACTCAGAAGAAAAATTCTGGAGAGTGCCGCCATAGAAAATTACCCAAATATTAATCTACGCCCAGTTTTATCCCCCATTTCACCTTTCTTAACAAAATTAATGCTCTTACAAACAAATATACACAACAGATTCATAAAATCAAAAGAAAATGGCTGAATGCATCAACACAGATATAATGACAATATTCTTCCCACGTGACAATCACTGACGTTATTTTTCAGTTAAAAATATGAAAATAGCGTTTCTCTACATTCCAGTTGCTAGGTACATTCTGTTTTTGTTTTTATTAGTTACTTTGTTCATTTAATTTCATTTTCGTATTTTGCTTTGATAAAGTCCACATTGGACGAAACACGTCAGCAATTACCAGTTTTCCTATTGTCATTTTTGTTCATATATATATGTATATATATATATATATATATATATATATATATATATATATATATATATATGTGTGTGTGTGTGTGTGTGTGCGTGTGTACTGCCAACGTTTTCTTATCTTTTTCTCCTGGCCAAATATTTTTTTTAATATTTATTATGATAAATAATAATAAGTGAACTTAAATTCATTATAATAAGCGAAAAGAATTTTACTGATAGCAAACATCGACGCTCTTATTAAAAAGGAAAAATAAACTGGTGCTGTTATTTGATATGTAACCTAAAAAGTTTCAGCAGTTAATCATCATAAAATGTCGTTGATTTCACTACATATAAATCAAGTATTTTCAGAAACATAAATCTGACAATAAATGAAGCAAACATCTTTTATAACATTAAAAATTCATGTCATTTTTCATGTATATATGTCTAAATAAAAGTGTCTAAACACCGAAGTAGGTAAAAAATGGCGAATGATGTATGTGCACGGAGACACGCGTGCGCAGGCAGGCATTCACTAAAGAGATTAGACAACCAACAAATATGTAGTAAAAGTTTTACAAGAAAGAAAAATATGAGAGAGAAAAAAATGTCAAGAAATAAGATTATCGTCTTGTGGCATTCAAGGAATTACGAAAAATATTCTTAAGAATATTTTTTTTTTCAAATGTTTTTGCTTTTACAAAATATTTGTTCTGGTTATTGCATTTTGGTCACTTCAAAACAAAACAAAAAAAATTACGACAGAGGTTGGCGGATGAGTGAACGTGGTAGATTTAAGTTAACTGTGTGAAAGAAATTGTAAAAAAAAATGAACAAGAAAAAAACATGATCAGTTTAGCTGCGTTGTGTTAAAACAAAAACAGCTCTAAATATTTTAAAAGGAACTAAAAAATAGATCATGAAATAGAGGAAAAATCAGTAAAGAATTAATCGAAAATTGATTCAGAATGGCGATTATTATATTGACTGTAAATTTTGGCCTAGGCACAAGCGTACAGGCGTTTTGAAATTTTTCTGCATGCTATTTTGTTGTTACGAAGATGAAAATGTCGCAAGGTGTTTGCTTGGATCTGGCAGGAAATGACAAGGCGTATTGATCTTAATTGTTGTCTTTTTTTTTTTTTAAACATATAGTTTATAAGATTAAAGTAAAATTTAAAGGATGCCAGCTAACAAATCCAGTAGTCGAAGCAAAGGTTTTAAACGGATTCCAAAGCATTTGTGTATATGGATGAAGATTTAGAGGAAAAATGAGAATCTGGCAGGAAAAAAAACAAAAACGACCCCCCCCCAAAAAAAAAAACAAAAAAAGACAAGTGAAAATGGGTGTACGTCGGGATTATGCATATAAGTAAAAAATCTCAGAAATGTTTTGTACCCAATTTTATCATCATAAAAACAAATATATCTTTCCGAGTAGTTCGATGCGTGAGGATTGTTTAATGGGTCAATAGGGGAGTGTTCAGAACGGGTAACCATACAATATTATATTGAATTGGGTCTAGGTAGGGCATCTATTTTTTATATTTCGAGAAACGAAGAAATGGATATATCCGAATTGCTCATTCGGATATATCCATTTCTTCGTTTATATCAATCACTCTATATCGATTTCTCTTTTTTTTTCTTATACAACTGTGTTCAAGGTGATTAATCTTTCCACACCAAACATATATCCCCTTCCCTTGTTCCACCTCCATCTCACCTGCCTGTCTATCTATCTGTCTATCTATCTATCTATCTATCTATCTATCTATCTATCTATCTATCTATCTGTCTGTCGCAGTTTCTTCATTTCTCTGTCATTTGTCTATCTGTCTGTTTCAGTTTGTACTGGTGATCAAATAACTTGCTTGATTTTCAATGCATTTTTATTGATCATACCAAAGGTCACAATAGTCATATTGAAAAATGGTCATAATTTTGAAGGTTTGCTGTATATCATTACACATGTAACAACCCTATCCCATGACTGACGCTTGCATTAATTCTTGATCATTGAATACCGGAAAGCGCAACATTGTGCTTGAAAATAAAACGATTGCTCCAATAAGTCTGGGACTAAAAGAAGTACTATTTCTTTCTATCTATCTATCTATCTATCTATCTATCTATCTATCTATATTAGTCTGTTCATATCTATCTATCTATCTATCTATCTGTATTAGTCTGTTCATATCTATCTATCTATCTATCTATCTGTATTAGTCTGTTCATATCTATCTATCTATCTATTTATCTATCTATCTATCTATATTAGTCTGTTCATATCTATCTATCTATCTATCTATCTATATTAGTCTGTTCATATATATCTATCTATCTATCTGTATTAGTCTGTTCATATCTATCTATCTATCTATCTATCTATCTATCTATCTTAGTCTGTTCATATCTATCTATCTATCTATCTATCTATCTATCTATCTATATTAGTCTGTTCATATCTATCTATCTATCTATCTATCTTAGTCTGTTCATATCTATCTATCTATCTTAGTCTGTTCATATCTATCTATATATTAGTCTGTTCATATCTATCTATCTATATTAGTCTGTTCATATCTATCTATCTATCTATCTATCTATCTTTCTATCTATCTTTCTATCTATCTATCTATCTATCTATCTTAGTCTGTTCATATCTATCTATCTATCTATCTATCTATCTATCTATCTATCTATCTATCTATCAGTTTTTTTAATTGTCTACCGCAGTTTCTTCTTATCTATCTATCTATCGTAGTCTGTTCATATCTATCTATCTATCTATCTATCTATCTATCCTTTTTTTTAATTGTCTACCGCAGTTTCTTCTTATCTATCTATCTATCTATCTATCTTAGTCTGTTCATATCTATCTATCTATCTATCTATCTATCTATCTATCCCTTTTTTTAATTGTCTACCGCAGTTTCTTCTTATCTATCTATCTATCTATCTATCTATCTATCTATCTATCTATCTTAGTCTGTTCATATCTATCTATCTATCTATCTATCTATCTATCTATCTATCTTAGTCTGTTCATATCTATCTATCTATCTATCTATCTATCTATCTATCTATCTATCCTTTTTTTTGATTGTCTACCGCAGTTTCTTCTTATCTATCTATCTATCTATCTATCTATCTATCTATCTATCTATCTGTCACAGTTTCTTCATTTCTCTGTCATTTGTATATTTCAGTTTGTACTCATCTATCTATCTCTCTATCTATCTATCAATCAACTTCTTCATTTCTCTGTCATTTGTCAATCTATCTCAGTTTCTTTCTTTCTTTCAATCTATGTATCTATGTATCTTTGTACTTATCTATCTATCTATCTATCTATCTATCTATCTATCTATCTATCTTCTTCATTTCTCTGTCATTTGTCAATCTATCTCAGTTTCTTTCTATCTATCTATCTATCTATCTATCTATCTATCTATCTATCTATCTATCTGTAACAGTTTCTTGTCTATGTGAATGTATTTAGGACGCCGAAAAAAGTGTTCCACAATTGCCTCCAGAACAGTGACTAGATCAGACTTTGCACACTGTTTTTGTGTACATGTCCGACATTTGATATTTTCAACAAGAGAACTGAGGTTACTCCTGAACACCTGCTCTCCAATGACGACGGAATAAAAATGGCAATAGGCACGTGGCTAATA